CCCCACAAGGAGTCAGATTTATGCAGTGCTTGTGTCTAAATGGCCTCCAGGGATGTTGACATTTGTTGTTGGAGAGCAGAGAGTGGTGTTCCTTTCATCTCCACAGAGGGGTGTCAGCTTAAATTATGAGGGATCGCTCCAGCCTGCATCTGGGTGTGGGAGTATCTGGCAGTGGAGGGCGCCTGCTCCCTCTGCTCCACTTCTTTGCTGTTTGAAGCTTTTCTGCCATCTTCTGCTCCCCAGGGTTCCTGCTGGCTCTGGGAGAGGTCTCCCCGCTCTTTCAATATTTTCCTGTCCTTTGGATGAATAGACAAGTGTATATTTCAGGGACTGCATATTCTCAGGGAAAAGTTTGCCGAGTCTGACAGGCCTGGTTCACTGAAAGAGAGAAGAGAGGAGTCTTCGTGACTGTTCCCATAGCTTAGAGAGTCCAAGAAACAGTCACAGAACAGCATCAGGCCCCTGATACTGGCACATGGTAGCTGGAGGTGGATTGATGGGTAGAGATGAGCAGTTCCTGGGACACCAAAGTGTCCTCCATGCCTCCATCTTCAGGATCTGTCTCACATGGACCCAATAGGACAACTAGAGGTCCACACTGGTGACTGTTCGATGGGATGTATACATTTTGATGGAGAGGCAGGAGGTTGGGTGAGGTCTAGGGAAGGAGTTAGCACACTGCAGCACATAGACCACATCTAGACTGGTGTCTGGTATGAGGATGTAGGCTGATTAGGACATAGCTGTGCCCATCGTGTTGCCCATCGCTGCTTTTGGGCTATGATGGCAGTGCTGAGGATAGAGGGTGGGCTATGAACTGAGGCCATAGGGTCTGCAAAGTCTTAAAGATTTACTGTCAGGAATTTTACAGTTTGGAGACTACTTAGGAGGGAAAACAGGACCAGAGTAGAGAGAGGAGGTATGGAGATGCAGCCATGAAGAACGAGAGGGAGGAAACTACCGCAAACTGACGCACTCCAGAGACAAGCCACTGATGCCTCTTCCCTTCCTCTCCTCCCTTTTCCTCCTCCTGGACACAAATGTTTTCCTGTCTGTCGTCTATGGTTATAGATAGAAAGGGTTATATAGATATAGGGTTATAGTGATAGGATTATAGATAAAAAGAGTAGCCATCATCCATAAGACCCTCAGCATCCTCCAAACATGGGCACCAAGGGTCAGCCTAGAAAGAGATGGTCTTCTTCCCCCTCTCCTCATGGGCTCATGAAGGGATAGCAGCTCTTGGAGAATGTGCTTGTGTCCTAGGCAAGACCAAGTATGGTGGGAGACAGAGGGGGACCCCAGAGGCCCTCAGCTGCCCTGCTGAGGACAAACCAGAAATTACACCTTCCTCTGGAACTAACCCAAACACCATCTCTTCCTCTCCCTTGTCACAAATATTCACACAATAGCATTCCTCTCATGGTCATTAACCTGGGGGGGCGGAGGGGAGAGAGAATGCTCATAGCAGTACCAAACCTTAACCCTGACCTCCCATCAATATGAGTCTGTTAACTAAGAACATGTGTCAAAGATCAAGAATGTACTGTGCTGAAATAATAGTAATTATTATTTATGGAACACCTGTCACATTTTATACAAAGTAAACCCTTTACAGGTTGCATCTTATTTCATTCTAACAATGTTATTTTTTCTGCTGTCTTGATGGAGAGTGTGTTAGGATCAAACACTGTGTCTGGTAGAGGGAATTGAAACATGACTGTTTCTGAGTCCAAAGTCCATGCATGCAGACAGCATGCCACATTACTTTCCTGGATAGTGTCAACATATATGGGCCATTGTTATGATTTTAGATTTTACATTTTCATTAGTCACACAGATTATCCAAAGTTTCAATACACATTTGCATCAAACTATATGAGAAATTACTTACTCCATAAGACACTTGCAAACACCATTTTATTGACAACGCTGGCAGAAGACATGAGGTTTCTGCAGATCTTCCAATTTCATTTTAAAGTATAATTTACACTGAGGATGTCCTGGTTGTCATTTGCAGTGCTAGCCTTCAGGCTCAGCCTGTTTTTAGTTATCTGCCTTCAGGAGATCTGCATGTCACTTGGGCTGAGATTTCAGTCCCATTTCCTCAGAAATGTCACTGAAGGATCAGTCATACCAGAAGAGCTTCCTCTTCACTCTGTTATAGAGAATCATTGGCTCAATAAATGAGGGTCAAGGGAGTCTCCAACCAGTGGCAGCAATAGGATCTTACAGAGGTGAATATGTACAGATATGACTTTGTTTTTCTATCTTTGGCCTCTTGGGGGATCATCTTATTTTACTGAGGCTTTACTTTCAATGTTTGTTTTCTACTTTCTAGTCAGCAAACCTTCTTGGATCACCTTTGAACCCCTTTGCACAGGTATGACTAAGCTCATGCCTGGGAAAAAGCAGTCTCAGAGCTAGGGGCATCACTCTCCTTGTGAGGACTATGGTGTTAATGTTCCTTAATCTCTCACCATCTTTTATTTGTACTTTGGTGTGGAGTGAGGCACCAGGAAAACATAACCTTTCTACAGCATATGATAAGCATTACCTTACCTGTGTGCTGGGGTCATAGGAGCTACCTCATACACAGCAGTGGTGCCCCTGGGTTACCCATTGGGTGAGTGTTATTGTCATCTAGCTGTAAAGGAGGAAAACAGCTGGGAAATGGTGGATATGTCATAGCTAGCAAAGGGATATACTTCTAACATGGGGCAGGACTTGCCTGCCTACCTCAGCCTCCTTGAAGTTCAGGGGATTCACAACCGAGTGTCCACTTCATATTTAAGCTATGTGTTTAAATGTTCATAGAAAGAAAAAAACTTTGCTCTTTCACATAAAAGAAATATTTGGCTCAGGTAGAGCCCCAATAGAACTCAACTCATCTCCAAAGTAAAAAACCATAAACAAATATGCCTACCTTACTGAAGAGGTAAGATTGAATAAAGACAGTGTATGTTGCATCTAGTGAGTAGATTCTTCCTCTAGGCTGTTTTGAACTAGCAGAAGGGATTGGAGCATGTTAAACACTTGGGGTAAAGGTTTCACTGGAAGAGGGAAGACAGGGATCTCCATAGGACTTGGAGATAATGGAGGGTCTCTGGACCAGTTAGCTTTCTTTTGCTGTGATAAAGCATTGACCAAAACAAACTCTGGGAGGAAAGTGTTTATCTGGCTTATAGCTCACAGTCCATCACCAAGGGAAACCACAGCAGGACAGGAACCTGGAGGCAAGAACTGAAGCACAGACCATGAGAGAATGCTACTTACTGGCTTGCTCCTCTGGCCTATGCTTGGCCTGCTCTTTTATACAACTCAGGACCACCTGCCCAGGGATGGCACCATCCATAGTAGGGTGGTCCCTCTCACATCACTGAGCAATCAAGGAAATGCCTCACCCGACATGTCTGTAGGCCGGTTTGATAGGGGTAATTCTCCAATCGAGAGTCCCTCTTCCCAGCTGTGTCAAGTGAAGGTATCCAGGACAATTAACCCCTTGTCAATCCCCTGACACACAGATACACCACTATTAAACCATAGCCTTTCTTGTTTCTTCCTGAGATTTAGTGCTAATATCACAATATAAATACAAGACAGTCTTTAAAAGATCCCCAAATTCTATTACTTAAATGTTCACTGTCTTTTTAAAATAAGCAAAAGTCTCTCAACTGTGGCCTCCTGTAAAATAAAAAAAACAAGTTACATGCTTTCTTATTTCAAAAGGGAATAACTGGGCACACTTAAGTAAAACCAAAGTCTAAGAGCGTAGCTCAAATGTCAGACATCTTCAAAATGTCGACATTAAATGTCAGATTCATGATCTTCTGGGCTCCAAAGGACTTGGGCAGTTCTTCTTCTCTGGCTCTTCCAACCACAGACCAGCTGTACTCCACAACCATCATTACTGTCCTTGGTCATTATCCCACAATCCTGGCATCTCCAACATGCTGGAGTCTCCTCTGCAACTGAGGGTGCACCTTCATGAGTGGCTTCTCCTGGCCTCACATGGTACCAAGCCTCCGATTTTCTCTACGAGCCCTTCATGCTTTCAAAACCAGTACCATGTAGAAGACTCTTACACACTACCAAGTTCTGCTGCCAGCTTGATGTACAGCCTCAGGTCTTCTCTGGACCACAGCTTCTGTGTGCTGACCCTGAGGAAATATTTCCCAGAAGATTTTACCTAATGATGCTGGTCTCTTCTTAGTCACAGCTGAATTTTCAGTGCCAGCTGACCAGCATTGATTGCCCCAGTAAAGCAAAAATTGTTTTACTTCCAAAAATTAATGGCCCAGATAGAGTCTTTGAGGGACTCTTAAACTTCCCTTTGAAACTTCACAAGCCAGGCCTCCATCACCTACTTTTCTTCAGCATTTTCTTCCAAGATCCCACAGAACAGTTCACTAACCTCTAAGCATTCAACAGCTTTTCCAGCCCAAAGTTCCAAACACTTACACAATCCTCCCAAAAATACCAAGGTCACATCTGTCACAGCAATATCCCACTCTCTGGTACCAATTTCTGTCTTAGTTTGTTCTTCATTGCTGTGACAAAATACTCTGACCACTAC